TACGCGGAGGAATGAAATATGTCATGTACATGCTACACACATTTCAAAATTTACCAAAAATGATGTATATAATATGCCATATATGACATATAGCCTATATTTCTGAGGTAATCTGCCATGTTTGTTTTAACTGCAGAGATGTAGCTGCTTTACTGGGCCTACTACACTACTGTATTTCAATACTGCTCATTTTGGTGGTACTTGGAGAGACAATTTTTTTCTGAGGTGGTACTTGATGAAAAAAGTTTGAGAACCACTGCTCTAATGGATTAAGTTCACAGCACTCATTAGGATTAGTTTTTATACTTAAATTCAAGAGTTGAGTTACCTTAGCATTTGGGGTTTTACAGAGTATTAAACATTTACAATTTGAGGTTACAATATTTATCATTTTCTAGAGCAGTGGTCATCAAACTTGTTCCTGAAGGGCCGGTGTCCTGCAGATTTTAGCTCCAACCCTAATCAAACACACCTGAACAAGCTAATCAAGGTCCTGCTAGGTATACTTGAAACATCCAGGCAGGTGTGTTGAGGCAAGTTGGAGCTAAACTCTGCAGGGACACCGGCCCTCCAGGACCGAGATTGGTGACCCCTGTTCTAGAGTGTTGAGGTTCTTCAAGGAACCATCAATGTCAGTAAAAAATATTTAAACACCCGTAAGACACCAAATTAAAAGCTTCATATAGGTTTATTAAAGCCTCTAGCTATATATACAGCAGTGATAGTGCTGCTTTTCTTAGCAAACATCACTTAAAAAAATCAGCAATAAGTTTTAGAAAGCATCAGCCTCTCCACTTACAGTCCATTAGCTGCTCCAGCAGTGTTTCTGTACACAAGGCTAGTATTGGGAGACTGTGTGTGTGTGTGTGTGTGTTACATGAACCCTCTCACTGCCGCCACACACGCCGTTTGCATTAGCAAGAGGCTCAGATGCCCAGCGCTAAATCACATGCCCTTGTTGCCAGGTAGGCACAACGGAAAGCATTAGTCGAACACAAGATCTGCTTCTCTATACAGTACCTCATTAAGGCTCCAGTTTCTGGAGCACCACAAAAATAAATCCCACTGGACTTCTCCTGATAAAAATGAAATCAATAAAATGTGCGTCCATTATTCAGCCTCTCGGAGACTAACAGTATGTGGTAAGCACTTTGCTGAATCATATATTGACATCGGTATATACTTATCGACAGTACTCTGTAAACCTAATGGTGTCTTAAACAATTAAGTTGACTGAACATTACTCAAAATTTAGCATTTTGGTCTTATCACTTAAAAATATGAGTTAATTTGACTTATGTACCATGAAAATGCATAACCTTAAGATTTCAAGTGTGGTGAGCTTAAAATCATAATTAATCCTTTAAAAAAAAGGTCATTTTCACAAGTGTAGTCTTGACTGTAAAATTCTAATATGTGCAAGCTTTTAAGTGCAAGATCTTTTTTTTAACAAAAACAAATAGCTTCAGGTATAATTATTCATCATAATGTGAATAAATGACTACTTTTTTTTTTTTTTTTTTCAAGAGTTCACACTTAGCTGATGATTAATTATAAGCAACTTTGGTATGCTGTCCCGGGAGAGAGCCCTGAGCTCATAAGATCCTCGAGCCCGGGGCTCCCTCCTATTGCAAGGCGAGAGGGGAGTTTGAGCTCAGGTAGACCTCGAGAACTCTGCTGTAGTAACTAATGAACAGATAGTGATAGTGAGCTACTTACTAGGAGTATGTCTATATTGGCAGTTGGCCAAAGCTGCTCTCCAATTTGGGCATTATGCTTTGTTTCGCATCCATACACCATCACTGCCAACACTTACCGCATCCATTCACTTGCATTTCACACTGATTGAAAATACTGATACTGATGTTTTGATTGTTATTTTCAATTGTGTTAAATAAATCTTCTTTTTGATGATACTTCGCTGTGTCGTCTCCCTCACTATGTTACATGCCTGAGCCAGGTGTAACACCGGGAAACCCACGTGAGACGTCCATGGTAACCTTTGATTTGACCCACTATCTAATCTGAATAGAGAGAGAGAATGATGTGGAGGTGGTTGGGGCGAATGCCTTTGACAAAGATCGTCATTTTGAATTTAACAGAACCTTTTGTTTTATTGCAGAGCTACAAAAACGGAAGTAAAATGATTCGATTAAATCTTGTAAATGAATCAGACTTTTAAAATGTAAATACTGTCACTTGACGGATAGAGGACAATGCAGACATCTGTGAGCAAATCAAGGCAAAAGCAGGAGCTGCTCCACTAGTGTATTCAGCACTGAACTCATAAGTGAACTGGGACTCAGGGTGTTGCTTACAAATTAGTATTAATCTTTTTTATATCTTACTAAGAGAGTATTCACTGGATGAAAATTCTATATGAAACTTCTATCTTACTTGTAATTAGGTTGCTATTTGGGATATTTTTTTCAATCAATCAATATCAGGAACAAAAGAATTCGAATAAAAAGTAACATTTAAAACGGATCCCTTTTTTCCCTTTTTATTTCCCTTTGTTATTGTTATTGTTATTTTATTTATATTTGCTTTTGTTCTTTTTTCCAATCTTTTTGTCTTTTTCCCTAAATTGAAAAAAAAGATGTAAATATGATTGTGATGTTATTGTCATATTTTTATTACATCTCAATCAAAAGATTGTTAAAAAAAAAACATTTACATTTTACATTTAGTCATTTAGCAGACGCTTTTATCCAAAGCGACTTACAAATGAGGACAAGGAAGCAATTTACACAACTAAGAGCAACAATGAATAAGTGCTATAGGCAAGTTTCAGGTCTGTAAAGTCTAAGAAGGGAAGTATTAGTAGTATTAGTATTTTATTTTTTATTTTTATTTATTTTTTGTTGATGGAAACAGTCTTGAACCGGTTTGATAACACAGCTGAACGTACAAGAAACAACCTTGAGTTTTTAACGCAGATGGTCTCTTGTCTATTGTGTCCCTGGTTAAGCTTTTCACAGGTCGAAGATCAGCTCCTAATAACTTAGGGTTGACCTGACCCCCAGGAACCATGTCGCCATCCATATCTGGAGCTAGATACAATTCTTTCTTGACGCATACATTTAGAATTGTCTATTTTTGCTATAACCAGTGAGAACTGTTTACCTGGATCCCACCTTTTCTGGACTTGTGTATAAATGCTGCAGTGTTGTACTGTTAGTCAGAGCGACTTAGGAGCTTATTGTGAGTGTTGAAGCTGGCTTCTGCTGATGAAACCGCAAACTATCTTCAGTAAACTTGATTTATTTATTTAAATCTCTGACTCCGGCTCTTCTTCATCTGACAGACTGCTCATTCTTTGGGTCAAACTGTAAACTATCCCTACAGACTGCAAAATGAGCATTTAAGGGAAATATTGTTGTTAAATTTAGCTAGTTTGGTATTTATTAGGTAGCAATTCTGAATGATTTTGATTGAGACTTCAACAGCTTTATCAGATAAAAATATTTATTTTTGAAGAAGAAGAAGCCAAAACTGTTTACAATCTGTGTCAACAAATATATTATTCCAAAAACCAATGCAAGCAGGTAAAGAGATCCTAGAATTATTGACTAAGCGAATATCTTTGTTTAACATCGAACTGAGAAGAGTTTGGTCAATAAAAAGCTTTGTGTTATCAAAAATAAAAGAATAAATAACCTTTGGGGCATGATTTGACTAAAGGTATAACACAATCAGGGATTGCACAAATAAACTGTCACATTATTTGGGGGGAACTGGAAAAGAAAACTGATGCATACATTTTTCATATGAAATCGCGGCGCTGTTTTTTTTTTTTTTTTTAATAAACTTTTATTTAGAAAAGAAGAAATTTACAATATAAATCAGGAAGTAATCTGTAGAAGAATGGAATACAAGAATATACAATTACAAAGTTAGAAGAACAATCAGTAAAAAGAAAAGAGTAATAGAAAGAAAATAAAAAAAGAGAACAAAATGAGGAAAGGGGAAGTACTAAATTAAATTAAAATTAAAAATACAGAAAGCATTAATTACTAACATACTGGAAGCATGATATTCCCAGAGATGGGTTGCGGCTGGAAGGGCATCCGCTGCGTAAAAGACTGACAACCCTAGATTAATAAAGGGACTAAGCCGACAAGAAAATGAATGAATGAATGGAAGCATGATATTTTCATAAGTTTCTATTAACTTGCAGATTTTTTTGTTTTTAGATAAACGTATAGCTTTAAGCATGAAATCAATTTCAATTAAAAAATGGGCAAATGAGGGAGAGGATTTAAGAAATTTTTGTTTGTGGATAAAGAATTTTGCATATAATATAAAAAAGTGATATATATATATATATATATATATTCTTCATTTTTATTCTTGGGATTAGAATAATAACAAACAATATCTTTCAGTTTAAAGATTTGTTTTGTTGATTGGGATGTATTCAAATAATTATAAAGATCAGACCAAAACTTTTGTGAGATTTTACATTTAAAAAACATGTGAGTCAAAGTTTCCTAATTTTCCTGACAAAAGGAACAAGTATCTGCAATATCAGTACATTTTGAGATAAATGCATTGACCGGGTATATTTTGTGTAGAATTTAATATTTAATAAAAATGTAATAAAAAAAAGATTTCCTTTGCTTTTGTTTGGGATTACATATTTATATAGGAGAAGCCATGTTCTTTTCCAATCAATATCCTCTATTGATGCTGACCAATATGATTTCCTTCTTGGAGTAATTTGATTTTTTGTTGGAGAATTCTAAGGATGAGTTTGTTGTTGCAACCGCGGCGCTGTTTTTCTTCAGAGGACAGCTACGCGTGACGTCACGCTCTTTCAGATGCATTGGTCGGTGCGTCACGTTGCGGCATCAGCAGTACTAAAAAACTAGTTTGTTGAAATCTAGTCTGACGTCGACTTCTCGAGCTCTCGGACCGGTGTGATGTAACACCTTTGTCGGCGGTGTGTTGTTTTCCGTTCGAGCCGCCGCGGTCAGTCACGCAGCGCGCGGAGGAGACGGCAGCATGTGCAGCGGCGAATCAGCGATATAGAAACCGATAAAACTATCCGTGACGCGACAAAACAAGAGCAGAGACTCGTCGAAAACGCTCGCTAGCGGGACAGATGGCTGTACGGGAGGGAATGCGCTTGCTGTCGCTGGAGGTAACGGGATATGAGCTGTTATATGAAGCCCGTCGGTAGGGCACCAGAGGAAGATTGCAGCTGAAAACACCCGGATCTCATCATCATCATCATAATAATAATATAAAAGCAGCGTTTGCGTGGTTTTCGAGCATTCAGTTGATGAACACACACACGTCGGGCTGCAGATGGGCTTTAATATCGGTCTGATGAAGTAATTTGAAGCCCACACTTCAGTCCCGGGGTGCAGTCTTGAGCGTGTGATGATAGGAGACACAATGACGCTTTTGTCTCTTTTGGGTCGCATCATGCGTTATTTCTTGCTCAGGCCAGAGACCTTGTTTCTGTTATGCATCAGCTTGGCCCTCTGGAGCTACTTCTTCCACACGGACGAGGTGAAAACCATCGTCAAGTCGAGCCGGGATGCCGTGAAGATGGTGAAGGGGAAAGTGGCGGAGATGATGATGAACGACAGGCTCGGCGGGCTGGACGTGCTGGACGCGGAGTTCTCCAAGACCTGGGAGTTCAAGAACAACAATGTGGCGGTGTACTCGATACAGGGCCGGAGAGACCACATGGAGGACCGCTTCGAGGTGCTCACCGACCTGGCCAACAGGAGCCACCCTTCAATCTTTGCTATTTTTGACGGACATGGTGGAGAGGTAAGATTCAAGAAGTGTGGGTGCTGATGAGAGAGAGAGAGAGCGTCCTTTTGTAGCTGCTAAATTAGCCGTTGAACGAGTGGTTGCAGTTTATGGAGCTTGAAACCTAAAAATAACGTCCGTGGAACGTTGGGAATTGGTTCCCAAAATAACCAAACACGAGAGACGGTGTGTGTGTGTGTGTGTGTGTGTGTGTGTGTGTGTGTGCGTGTGTGTGTGTGTGTGTGTGTGCGTGTGTGTGTGTGTGTGTGTGTGTGTGTGTGTGTGTGTGTGTTAGCTTGGACGACCTTCAAAGGAGCAGTTCGTGCAAAAATTGTTTACTCACCCTCATGTTGTGCCAAACCCGTATCACTGACTCGTGTGGAACGTAAAAGATTATGGTGTATTATGAAAAGATTATGAAGTAATTCACGGACGCTTTTTCATAGGCTAAAAGTAGGTCGAAATGAGAAGTCAGTGTGACTTTAAAAAGTGGTTCCTTTTCCCTGAAAGTAGGCTAATGTTTGAATGGTTAATAAATGTAAATACTGTCATTCGCTCACACTATGTGTTCCTTACCAGATTGAGTGTTTGTGTTTTGTTGGGCACAAAAGATATACTTAAGAATTTTAAGAAACCTGTAACCATTTACTTTATTAGTAGGCAGTGGTGGAAAGAGTACTGAAAATCATACTTGTATACTATTACTTGCCTAAAAATGTAGTGTGAGTAAAAGTATCTGTTGTACATATTACTCAAAGTATCAAAAGTACTCAAGAGTAGTGAGTATTACGCTGTGAAAAGTTGATGCGTTGTAATTTGTCAATGTGTTTAAACGTAACATTCTGTTGTGCATTTTAGTTATTATTGCCCAGCCGCCACACAATGACATAAGAGGTTAATAAACTATTTTGAGATGTAAACAATAACAATTGTCCTATTTTATTTCCTGTTATACATTCATTTTCATAGCTAGCTTTATTTGGAATGAAATCCTTAACTTCGATTGGAATAATCTTGTAGAGGAGTGAATCAAAGAAATTGTAAGTATAAATAGGATAAATAAGTATAAGTAAGATAAAAGTGAAATAAGCAGTCAGATATTCAGGTACAGTAATACCATATGATATTATGATATTTTGGGTGAAGCAGTGGCGCAGTAGGTAGTGCTGTCGCCTCACAGCAAGAAGGTCGCTGTTTCGATCCTCGGCTCAGTTAGCGTTTCTGTGTGGAGTTTGCATGTTCTGCATGCGTTCGCGTGGGTTTCCTCCAGGTGCTCCGGTCCAAAGACATGCGGTGCAGGTAAATTGGGTAGGCTAAATTGTCCGTAGTGTATGAGTGTGTGTGTAAATGTGTGTGTGGATGTTTCCCAGAGATGGGTTGCGGCTGGAAGGGCATACGCTGCGTAAAAATGTGCTGGATAAGTTGGGGGTTCATTCCGCTGTGGCGAACCCGGATTTATAAAGGGACTAAAGCCTGATTTATACTTCTGCGTCAAGTCACCGGCTTAACCCAAGGCGCATGCAACGCGCGTGGCTGTGCATTTATACTTCTGCGCGCTGTCTCTGTTGGTCTGCATTAACACTTCCGAAACTCTAGTTGGCAGTGAGGTGTAAATGTTCCTCTGTGTCGAGTTTCTTCGCTGCTTTATTGCTTTTCCTGAACACTTCCGGGATGTACAACTGGCTCAAACTCGCTCATTTTGAGGCAGGAACCGGCGGACATGCAACAACTTTAACTATGAGGTAAACACAAAACAAAACTTTCCATCCGGAGCTCCTTCACGGGACTCCACACTTGTAAACAATCGCTCGCACTATTCGCGCGGCTCTCGGTCCCGCCCAGACTCATCAGCGCTACCAAGCCGACCAATGACAGAGCTTACGCTACGCGTCAATGCGACGTGTAGTTACAATTTTTGAGAGGTGCACGTCAGTGACGGCCACGGCGAAGGGCTATGCGTCAGCGCCGTAGCATACGCCAGCGTTTGATGCAGAAGTATAAATCAGCCTTAAGCCGACAAGAAAATGAATGAATTAATGAATTATGCTATTTTTTTATTTTATTTTTTATAATAATTTTTTCAGGGTTTTCACCTTTATTTGTGATAGGACAGTAGAGAGAATTGACAGGAAAGCATGGGGACTAGAGAGAGGGGAAGGATCGGCATAGAACCGCAAGGCGGAATCGAACCCAGGTCGCCGCGAGCACCGGAGTGCATGTGTCAACGCACTAACCACTACACCACAGGCGCCGACATGAATTATGATACTTTGCTTCCAATAATAATAGATCACGATACCAACGATATACATCACAAGAAAACCATCCACAATATATCATGATATTTCTGAACGAAGAGGGAAAAATGCATTAAAAGTTATTAGATGTAGAGTAGCAACACTGATATATGTTCGATCTGCCATAACGAGAAGCGTCACCTCATGCACATCACTATTTTGTCGAGCCCCTATTGAATAATCATTCATTCGTTTTCTTTTCGCCTTAGTCCCATTATTGATCTGGGGTCACCACAGTGGAATGAACCGCCAACCTATCCAGCACATATTTGACACAGCGTATGCCCTTCCAGCTGCAATATACATAAATATTTTATAAGTATTGAATAAATATTGCAAGATTTACTGCAAGTTCCTGTACATCTTTCAGCCACACATGCTCTTTCAAAATCATGGAAAAGAAATCTAAATCAACAGATCTTAAAAAGTGCTGTTTTGTTCATTTTGTGTTTAAATACTAAACGGCTAAAGTTGTTGTTTAGTGTGTGAGGATATTGACCGCAGGAGATCCACACACAGACTGCCTTTATAATGCTTATGAGTGCTCTAATGCAGCCAATTGAGATTCCCATGATACTTGTGTGGTGCATTCAGTCTGCACCCCCCCCCCATCAGACATCTGCTCCGGCCTGTCGAGTTTCCCAGCCCATGTGGAGCTCGGACAGATGTTCATTTTAACTTCTTCATTGTGTAGTAAGGCAGATGAACACTAGTCCGCTTAATGTTTGAATACTCTCTGAGATGCTCTGAAAAGTAACGTAATGAGCTGAGAAAATTTGGTGACTGGATATTTACCAATATATCATTCTCCCAGGATTCTTGTCGTCTATTTCTGCTTTCTTGATCATATATGGAATGCCTACAGTCTATTTATAGCAGTATTTGTTTATAGAAATGACTTTCCTCTAGTCTATGCAGTGAATAGATGAAAATGTGCCAACCTCATGATCTTCGACCCCTGTAAAAGTCTTTTAATCTACAGTATCTCCTCCCATGTTTGCTGACCCAAACGTCCTGACATTATGGGTCTTATCTGTGTATACACTCGTGTCACATTAGTATTAGTGCTGGATCAAGTTTCGGATTGCAAAGTTGAAGAAAATATGATGAATAATCACTCGGCGATTATAATCTCTCCCTAAACATTTTCTTTTTTTGCCATTTATTTGTTTTTATATATTTATTAAATATATATATATATATATATATATATATATATATATATATATATATATATATATATATATATATATATATATATATATATATAATTAAATAGAATTATTTATGAACTAGTGTTTTGCATGTGTTTTTTTTCTATTTTAGTAAACCCTAAATTTCTAATCTATTTATTTAATTTATTTTATATTAATTTCTTTTATATATATATATATATATATATATATATATAATATAAATAAATATAGTTATTTATGAACTAGTGTTTTACATGTTTTTTTTCTATTTTAGTAAACCCTAAATTTCTATTTCTAATCTATTTATTTAATTTATTTTATATCAATTTCTTTTATATATATATAAATATATATATATATATATATATATATATATATATATATATATATATATATATATATATATATAATTGAATATAATTATTTATGAACTAGTGTTTTACATGTGTTTTTTTTTCTATTTTAGTAAACCCTAAATTTCTAATCTATTTATTTAATTTATTTTATATCAATTTCTTTTATATATATATATATATATATATATATATATATATATATATATATATATATATATAATATAATTAAATATAATTATTTATGAACTAGTGTTTTACATGTGTTTTTTTTCTATTTTAGTAAACCCTAAATTTCTAATCTATTTATTTAATTTATTTTATATCAATTTCTTTTATATATATATAAAAAATATATAATTAAATATAATTATTTATGAACTAGTGTTTTACATGTGTTTTTTTTCTATTTTAGTAAACCCTAAATTTCTAATCTATTTATTTAATTTATTTTATATCAATTTCTTTTATTTATATATATATATATATATATATATATATATATATATATATATATATATATATATATATATATCAGAGGTTGCGTTTTTTTTTCAGCAGTGACGGAAAAATCTGAAGGTGATCCATCATTTTGACGGATTATGCTAAGGGTGAGCTATTGTATTTTTTTTAGCTAACTGTAAATCCCACTCCTGTCTAGCTGATGGCGATTGCCCTTGTTTTGCCTCCTCTTTGTCACCGCTGCGTACTGTTGCAAAAAGACACAGCAGCTGAGTGTGAGAAGTTTCTTTAAACGGCCAAATACCAAAAGGTTTTATTACTTGTGGGCCGATTCTAGCTCGGATGCGGCAGCGTCAGTTTGCGAATATCCGCCGCATCTGACCCGATTGACACGGGCCGGAACCGGGCAGTGAGTTCACAGGCATCTGGCCTGAGTACGGCAGCCGGAGTCCCCAGCAGGCGAGAATCTAGCAGGAACTGGCCCGAGTGTATTTTGCTATCTAGGGTGCGTTGTGAGCACTACCGGACTCAGAGGGGCGCAGAAAGAGCGCGTGCTGTAGTATTTTTTCCCGGTGAAACGAGTGCTTGCAGGATCGGAAAATCCAGCCTGATCTCACGAGAAAATGTAAGTATTTTACGTTTTGGCAGTTTAGTGGCTAATTCGTACGAATTTGTACGATTTCAGTCGTACGAAATGATACGATTTTAAA